GGGCCTTCAGAGGTCCAACGCTGGAGCTTTGCATTCTTTGCTTCTGGCTTGTCTGGAGCAGCGTTTCTTCAGGTAGCTCAGCTCCAGTGTCCTCTGCTGGGTCTGAAGCAGGTCCTCTCCCTGCCCCCAACCAGGTACTTTTTGTCCTCTGCCGGTTACTTCCTTCAAAGTGTGCTGTACAGTCTGAAGTCTTCTGACTTGGTGACTTACTTAAAATGGCTGGTTCCCTTTCTCCCTCCAAGCTGGGCTGCTTCTGTTCCTAGGACAGGTGCCTGACAAGTGTTCAATGAATAAACAAATGGCTCTATTAGATGTGGCCCAGTGAACAAGCAGCCTGGTCTTCCTGTTGGATTGGCACCACGGTGTAGACACACCTGTAAATAAAAACTGGGAAAGTCGCTATTCTTGTAAACAGTTTATGATTCCTTGGTTTTCTCACTTTATCTCCTGTTACTTCTGCATGAGCAGAGTAAGAAACAAGGCCTGTTGACTCAAGGACACCCTTTTGCCCACTTTGTTTCAAGCTGTGCACAGACTGCAGAGTCTGACCTGGCCCTGGCCCCGGCCCCAGGTGGGCAGATCCTTGGCAGGCAGCCCCTTCCCCCAGGGCAGCTCCTGGCTCTGCTGGATGCTGGTTCCAGTGGGGGAAGGGAAGAAGTCTAGTTCCCAGCGTAGGCTCTTGGATCCCAGCTGCAGCCCTGGAGGTGGTTAAGTGTCACCCCGCAGGGCAGGAACGCAGAAAAAGAGTCTCTTCCCTTCCCTCCCTTCCTCCCTCCCTCCCTTCCTCCCTCCCTCCCTCCCCAGCACTCTTCCAGTGGCTGGACCCGTCTGCTCTTTCTCTGCACACAGGCCTTTGCACAGGCTTTGCCTAGGAGAGCCTTAGAGCAGCTGCCCCAGAGTTTAGATGAAGCACTACCTGCCCCAAACGTGTGCGTGAGCTTGGTGACTGCTGGTTAACTTTGGGTCTTGGTGATTCTATACCTTTGCCTGTGTTGTCAGTTTCAGAGGTTCAGGCATGCACTTTTATTTGTGGTACTCCCAGGTAGTAGAGGTAAGCCAGTAATAAGGTCATGGCTTCCCTCAGCAGCCATGTGAGACCATATATATATATGATATGTATGTATTTTTTTTAACCTTTTTTTGTTTGTTTTCAGACAGGTTTCTGTGTGAAGCAGTCCTGGAACTCACTCTGTAGACCAGGCTGGCCTCGAACTCACAGAGATCTGCCTGTCTCTGCCTCCCAATTGCTGAGACTAAAGGCATGAGCCACCAATAGCTAGCTATATTAAAAACAAAAAGCAAGCAAATAAAAAAAGGGAAAACCAAACCAAACAATCCCAGGGTGGGGAGGATCTGGGAAGACTTGGGGGAGAAGAAACCTTGAAAAATCTATTTTCACCCAGGCAGTGGTGGCACATGCCTTTGATCCCAGCACTTGGGAGGCAGATGCAAATGGATCTCTGTGAGTTTGAGGCCAGACCAGCCTACAGAGTTCTAGAACAGTCAGAGCTGTTACATAGAGAAGTCCTGTCTCAAAAAACAAAAATAACAAAACAACCTATTTTTAATAAAAATTATTTAAGAATAAAATGCCATGTGGTGGTGCACGCCTTTAATCCCAGCACTTGGGAGGCAGAAGCAGGCAGATCTCTAAGTTCGAGACCAGCCTGGTCTACAGAGTGAGTTCCAGGACAGCCTCCAAAACAATACAGAGAAACTCTGTCTCAAAAAAACAAAAAGAAATTACGTTATGTTTATTTACATATATGTATGTATGTCTGTGTTTGGGTATATGCACGTGAATCTGAGGGCAGGTGTCCTTGGAGGTCAAAAGATGGTAGGTGTCTACAGAGTGAGTTCCAGAACAGCCAGGTTTATACAGAGAAACTGGAAAAACCAAATAAATAAATAAATAACATAATAACATTTAAAAAATCTCTGTGGGCATTCCTTTAAGGTCACAGAGAAGCTACCAGGAGCTATGGAAGCTAAAACTTTCTGCCCAAATCTGTTGCTATCAAGTAGCCCCGACTAGGGATGGACCCAGGGCTTCCAGTAAGTTCCACAAGCACTCTGCACTGGTACACCTCCAGCTCAAAGGTGTGCTGCTACTTGCATTCCAGGCCAGAGTTCCCCATGCCTGGAGAATGGGAAGTGTTGAGCAGATCACGCCCTGGGGCGGGTAGGGACAGGGTGGGACCTGCGTGCAGGATAACCACGTGGTCTTCTTCCTCTAGGGCAGGGAGCCTTCAGCTGGGTTTCTGTGTTCTTGAGTGCTGTTAGGATAATAGTGGAAGAACTAACGGGTTTTAGGAGAATTAGCCTGTCACCAACTGGTTCATCTCAGGTTCTTAATCCAACACTCACTGTTAGCTTTGTAATCTCAAATGAATCAAATTGGAGAATTTTTACGGTTTAGAACCGGAAGGGTTTTAAAAGCCACACAGTTATTCCTAGAGCAGGCTTGGGAACTGACAGCCACCCCCAACCCCTATATTAGTCTCAGTTTCTTCCTCTGTGAAGTGGGGTAATAGTGGTCTTGCTTATTCAGGGTTGGTATGAAAACTGAATGAGGTCGTGTTTATGTTCAGACTTGGGAGCATCTTTGTGCTGTTGTTACTGTTGGAATGCTGGGTGAGAAGTGGGAGGCAGCACATTCAGTGGTAAGCTCGCCCTGGTGCAAACCAGTGCCTGCATTGACTGGCCGTTACAGGACCAGTCCATCCAGACCTCAGGTGAAGGTGGTGATGCCTGCAGTTGAAGTGTAGCTCAGGGTGTCCCCAAAAAAGTAGGTATGGTAAGGAAGGCTCTTAGTTAGCTACATACCATGGCTCTCTCTCTGAGCACCTGATTTGGGAGGACACTTCACTCTCAGGAAAAGGCAGCCTGTTTCAGAGTATTTTGTGTTTTGCCCTCCTGGGCTAGTTTCAGTCTTCTAGAAAGAATTGCCAGAAAGATTGTTTCGTGAGAGATCTGTGAGGGGACTGCCTAGGTATGGTGGAAAAAGCTCAAGAGAGCTAGAAGAGGCAATAAACTCTGGTGTATTCCCTGCCCCGAACCCCTCTGTTACTTGCATGGCCAAGAGGCAGAATACAGCAGAGTGTGGTATGGCTCTGAGGTGACTTAAATCTGTCCTCACTTCAGTGTAGCCTATCCTAGGGTACATCTCTATCTGGATGGACCTTGGTGGAGGGTTCCAAGTGAGGGAGGATTCAGTCCTTCCTATGACCCTTATCACCTCTAAAGCCACTGAACAGGGGAGGAACACGTTTGTAAGAGCATTTAAGATTTAACTGGGCCGGGCGTTGGTGGCGCACACCTTTAATCCCAGCACTCCGGAGGCAGAGGCAGGCGGATCTCTGTGAGTTCGAGGCCAGCCTGGTCTACAGAGTGGGTTCCAGGACAGCCTCTAAAACAATACAGAGAAACCCTGTCTCGAAAAACCAAAAAAAAAAAAAAAAAAGATTTAACTGGGCCGGGCATTGGTGGCACACGCCTTTTGATCCCAGCACTCGGGAGGCAGAGGCTGGCGGAGCTCTGTGAGTTCAAGACCAGCCTAGTCTACAAGAGGTAGTTCCAGGACAGCCTCCAAAACAATAACAGAGAAACCCTGTCTCCAAAAAACAAAAACAAACAAAAAAAATTTAGCTGGAGAGCCACCGAAATGATGTGTCTGGCTCACACTAATTAATTCCAAGGTTCCCTTGAAGAACCCATGCTCACACCAGTATGTCTCTGTCATGTTCCCTTATTCTCCCATGGGAAGCACATGCCCACTTGGTTCTCTAGTGCCTGTCCTCCTTCCTGCCTTGTACCATTCCTTTTCTTTATATGAGGCAGAGGCAGGCAGATCTTTGGTCTATATAATTGAGCTCCAAGGTTCCAGGCTAGCCAGAACTACGTATTAAGGTCCTGTCTCAAAACAAAACAACAAAGTCTGTAGAGATAGCTCACAGTACTGAAGAGCATTGGCTGCCCTTCCAGAGGACCAGGTTCTATGTCCAGCACCCACATAGTGACTCACAACCATCTATAACTCCAGTTCTAGAGGATCTGATGCTCTCTTCTGGCTTCCCTGGACACAACAACAACAACAGCAAAAGGTCTGAAGGTCTAAAGATGGTTCAGTGTTTAAGAGGATTTGCTGAAAGCCAGGTACTGGTAACTAACACATTTAATCCCAGCACTCTGGAGGCAGAGGCAGGCAGATCTCTGAGTTGGAGGCCAGCCTGGCATAGTGAGTTCCAGGAAAGCCAGAGCTGTTACACACACACACACACACACACACACACACACACACACACACACACTAAAAAATGGAGCTGGGTGGTGGTGGTGCATGCCTTTTATCCCAGTACTCGGGAGGCAGAGGCAGGAGGATCTCTGTGAGTTTAATGCAAGCCTGGTCTACAGAGCCAGTGCCAGGATAGGCTTCATAGCTACATAGAGAAACCCTATCTCGAAACAAAACAAAAAACAAACAAAAAAACTGGTGGAAAAAAAAATGGCATCTGCTGCTCCTGGAGAGGATCTCGGTTCAAATCCCAGCACACACACACACAGTGGCTCACAAATATCTGTAACTCCACACCCAGGGCATCTGACGCCCTCTTCTGACCTGCAAGACTTTTCAAATATATATACGTAGGGAAAAAACACTCGCACATAAAATAATTCAGTTTTTTTTTTTTTTTTTTTTTTGGTTTTTCGAGACAGGATTTACTCTGTAGCTTTGGAGGCTGTCCTGGAACTCACTTTGTAGACCAGGCTGGCCTCGAACTCACAGAGATCCGCCTGCCTCTGCCTCCCGAGTGCTGGGATTAAAGGCGTGCGCCACCAACGCCCGGCATAATTCAGTTTTTAAAAACATTTTGGGACTGGAGAGGTGGCTTAGCAGTTAGGAGAATTTGTCATTCTTGCAGAGGACCTATGTCATGTTCCTAGCACCCATATGGTCTATTACCACTCTCTGTAACTCCAGTTCCAGGGGATCCGACATAGTAAGTTCCAGAATAGCCAGGCTATGTAGAGAGACCCCCATCTCAAAATTCTTACATGTTTTTATTTATATTTACACTTGTGGGTGCCGATGAAGGTCATCATTTCCCCTGGAGCAGGAGTCACGGGAAGTTGTGAGCTACCTAGAGTGGGTGTTGGGGACAGAACTTGAGTCCTCTGGAAGAACAGCAGGCACCCTTTCCTCAGCCATCTGTATTATTATCATCAATGGGATGGAGAGACGGCTCAGCTCTTCCAGAGGACCCAAGTTCAATTCCCAGCACCTACAAGGCAGCTCACAACTGGCTGTGACTCCAGTTCCAGGGATCTGACACCTTTACACCAATGGACATAAAACGTTAAATAATTCTTTAAAAATATCTCCAGAGCAACTAGGTCTGGATTTCTTCTCTGTGTAAAAATCCCAATTTGACTTGAGTCACGGTTTGTGAAAGATTAAGGGAACTCCTCGGGCTGTTGGGAGTGACGGAGTGGAGCAGTGTTTGTCCTCTTCTAGCAATTCTAACAAAAGGAAGGGGCTGAGCCTGTAGGACACTTCTACTTCCTGCTGTAGACAGGACTATTTTCAGAGTTCCTATAACATTCCTCAAGGACCTCACAGAGATCCGCCTGCCTCTGCCTCCCGAGTGCTGGGATTAAAGGCGTGCGCCACCAACGCCCGGCTAGGCAAGTATTCTTAACAACTGAGTTATGTGCTATCTGCAGCCCCTGTTCTTGTGAATACTGTCCTTCTCAATTCCTTGACCTATACACCAAGAGTGCTTAACCTGTGAAGACAAGCAAAGGATGCTGGGAAGGAGTCCTTCTGTGGTAAGGAGCTCCTGGGAAAGATCTGCTCAGATATGAGGGAAGGCACAGGTTAGCCTCTGCCTCTTCCACCACCCACCCCACCCCACCCCCAGTTTAGAATGCATAACGTTTTTCTTCATGACTGCAGGGATTTTGTGGAGGGAGGTTTGGAAACAATACATTCCATACCAAAACAGGCTGCCATCTCTACGCGGTCAGCCTGCTGTCTCCCTTCTTTTCTCCTGATTAGAAGCTCTCATTTTCATTCTGCTTTTCTGTGTCTTGTCTTCTGTTTTCAGCTCGTCACACCAACTCCTAGAGAGTGCAACCATGAGACTGACACGTGGAAGGACCTGGGAAGAGGCAGATCCACAGGATGGGGATGAGCCCCAGGCATTGCACTTCTGGGATGGAAGAGAAGTACATGTCAGAAGAAGACAGTGGAGCCGACCTCAGCCAACGCCTGAGGATGGAGGTCTGGCAAGGAGACCTCCATTCTACAGCCCCAGAAGAAGATGGGGATCTACTAAACCGCCGTGAAGTTCTGGTCCACTTCTCCATTTGCCAGTACTTCTACTGAGTCCTATGTTGGGATGTTAATGCAGACCTTACTAAGGATTATTGCTACTTTGATTCTATGATGATACAGATAGAGTGGTGTGGAATGGCTACCCAGAACAATGCTTACTTCTCAAGCTCTAAGCTGTCCATTAGCCCCACAGGTTGACAATGGGCTATCCTCGATGGTAAATGATGCTCACACCCCTGGTTCTTAGGTCAAGCATGAAGTATAGAGAGCTCAGGAGGCAGGATGCCAAGTGGAGATGGCCATCAGCCCCGTCTGAAAGAACCTGAGATACACAGGGGCATTGCCAGGGTGTAGAAGGCTGCAGCAGCGTTTACCCAGCGTGCACAAGGACCCGGTCCGTTCCGAGACCCTTGAGTGGGAGTGGGGAGTGGAGGAGGGTAGGCTGAGATACTGGCATGTCTTTCATGCGGCACTCCATTCAGACTCTCCTCCTGAGCCCTGTCGGTAGCTGCCTGACTTCCCTACCTTTGTTGTTGTGTGCAGATTTGTCTTCTTTTGAATAGGCCAGCTGTGGACACCTGAAGACTTATGACCTTCTGTGGTGCTATACGCCTGTAATCCCACTCTTTGGAACTGTAGAATTATAACTAAAATGGGGAGCCATATTTATATTGTTGCAAAATAATTATGGCTTTGTTTATATTTATCTATTGTGTGCATGTACACTTCCAAGTACATGGTGCTCAAGGGACAATTTGTGGGAGCCAGCACTTTCCTTCCATCCTGTGGGTTCCAGGGGTGGGCATCTTTACCTGCTGAACCATCTCACTGGTCCAAATGATGGTTTTTATTTGATTAAAATTTTTTTCAGGGCCGGGCATTGGTGGCGCACGCCTTTGATCCCAGCACTTGAGAGGCAGAGGCAGGCGGAGCTCTGTGAGTTCAAGACCAGCCTAGTCTACAAGAGGTAGTTCCAGGACAGCCTCCAAAACAATACAGAGAAACCCTGTCTTGAAAAAACCAAAAAAAATTTTTTTCAGAATTCTATCTTGAAAGAAGAGGAGGGCAAGCAGGGCGTTGGTGGCACACAACTTTAATCCCAGCACTTGAGAGGCAGAAGCAGGCGGATCTCTGTGAACTCAAGACCAACTTGGTCTACAAGAGCTAATTACAGGACAGCTTCCAAAGCCAGAGAAACCCTGTCTCGAAAAACCAAAAAAAAAAAAAAAAAAAAAAGAGGAGGGCAGGGGAAGGGAAACCATACTCAAAATACATTGTATTGCCAGGCGGTGGTGACACACAACTTTAGTCCTAGCACTGGGGAGGCAGAGGCAGGTGGATCTCTGTGAATGAGGCCAGCCTGGTCTACATAGTGAGTTCCAGGACAGCCTCCAAAACAATACAGAGATGCCCTGTCTCAAAAAACCAAAAAGAAAGAAAGAAAGAAAGAAAGAAAGAAAGAAAGAAAGAAAGAAAGAAAGAAAGGAAGGAAGGAAGGAAGAAAGGAAGGAAGAAAGAAAGAAGGGAATGTGGGCCTGGTTCTCACAGAAGCCAGAAAAGGATGTTGGAGCTTCTGGAACTGGAGTTTACAGATGATTGTGGGTTATGAGGGTTGGGAATTGAACCTAGGTTCTCTGTGAGATCAGCTCAACCACTGAGTAATCTATCCTGGCTTCTAATTTTAAATTACGTACATTTAATGTAGACTTTGAACATAAGCATAAGGTCTAAGAAGAGGTTCTGAGAGAAAAGAAAGACAGCACAGGTGTGGGCTTCTCTAAAAACAGTCAGTAACTCCAGTTATAGAAGACTCAGTCTACCAGGCATTGGTGGCGCACACCTTTAATCTCAGCACTCGGGAGGCAGAGGCAGGCAGAAGTCTGTGAGTGTGAGGTCAACCTGGTCTACAAAGCTACACAGAGAAACAAAATTATGGCTCCTTTTCCTACATTAGTTTTAAAAACTGTTTTTTTGGGGTGGGTGTCTGAAAATGATACTGTCCTTTTTCCAGATAGTTGGAAAGTTACTGGCCAGTCTTCTAAGTCGGAAGTGGTTCTTTCAGAGCATTACAGTGGATAGAAATCCACACATGTTGTTACTGTACAAGGGACATTAAGAGTTGCAAAAAGATGGCTGCAGTTTTTTTCTTTCCACCCCCAAAGTGTAGGTACTGCATTTGAAATTATTAGAACTTACATTTGCATCTGCTGTTGGTGTAGAAATAGGTGTGATGGAGAGAAACAGGAAATAGAAAAGCCAAGATTTGGAATGGAGTTGTTACTAAAAAGAATCTCTCTCTCTCTCTCATTCTCTCTCCTCTGAGACAAGGCCTTACATTGCTGCCATTGTCCTCAGGCTTACTGAGTAACAGAAGGGGAAAGTGACCTTGAATTTGTGCTCTTCCTATCTCTAACTTCCAACTGCTAGCATTCCAGGTATTTGTTCCGGGCCTTAGGATCCTGTGCATGGTAGAGAACCATGCTGCCGACTGAGCTAAGTCCCCATCCCTAAGGTTTTGAAACAGGGTCTTATGTATCCCAAACTGACCTCAAATTCACTGAGTCACCATGAACTGCTCATCCTTCTGCATCCACCTCCTGGGGCCGGGAGTACAGACCTGCATCGCCACACTCATTTTTATGTTGCTCTACACTCTGACTACATGTGCTGGAGAAATGGCTCAGTGGTTAAGAGTGCTTGTTACTCTTCCAGAGGTCCTGAGTTCCAAACTCAGCACCCAAATAGACCCTCACAACTGCCTGAGGGGATCTGACACCCTCTCTGACCTTCCTGCACACACGTGAAAATACTCATACCCACATATCAACCCCCATGCCCCACCCCACCTCTGACACACACACACACACACACACACACACACACACAAATAAGCCTTTTAGAAGGTTAGAAACTGTCTCTAGTGGGTGTAGTAGCCCACACCTTAGTAGTTACCTGGTCTACAAATCAAATTACAGGACAGGGCCTGGAGAGATGGCTCAGTGCTTAAGAGCACTGACTGGGCTTCTAGAGGACCCAGGTTCAATTCCCAGAACCCACATGGTAGCTCACAACTGTAACTCTAAGATTGGATATCCTCACACAGACATACATACAGGCAAAATACCAATTAAAAAAATTACAGGACAACCAGGACTCTTGGAGAGAAGCTCTGTCTGCAAAAACCAACAACAAAAACAAACAAACTGACTCTAGCAGCCCCAGACAAGGAAAACATCGGTATTTGGGGGACAATCCTTACTTTATTTAGCATGTCACTATACATATTTTCCAAAAAATTTTTCTCTCAGGGATGAGGATCCCTTTCCCTTCGAGGTGGGTCTTGAAGTCTGCTGGTAGACAGGAGGAGTCTTCTTGGCCACTACGATCTCATCTACTGTCACCAGCTGCTGTACCAGCTCAGCAACTGCTTGTAGTCCTTGGGCTTTGGCCCTCAGGATGTCCCAAATCCCTTCATGGGCCACGTTTATTATTCCATCTGTTCCCACGCCAATGAGGAAGTTCCCGATTTGGTGAATTCCACTCATTTCTGCAATCACGCTTTGGGCAGCCAAGCCAGCATTCTCCGCCAAGGTTTTAGGCAGAGAACTCAGGGCCTGGGCAAACGCTAGGAAGGCCAGACCATTGGGGCCTGTCAGTCGGCTTCCTTTGTCTGTCAGCATCTTTGCTAGAGCCATTTCTGTGGCACCGGCTCCTGGTAGCAGTCTGGGATCTTGACACAACTGGGAGAATGCATCGATGCCATAGTAGACAGCCTGCTCTGCACCCCGAAGTCCCTGGATGGTGGGCCCCCTCAGGACCACGGTGAGAGACGGTGCGCTCCCAGGTTCCCACTCAAACACTACTACTGCACCATGGTCCTGCAGCTCCTGCCTGTAAACCTTCTGGCACTTCCCAGGCTCCAGGGGGGGCAGCAGCCGAGTTAGCAGAGGAGTACCCATCATCTCACTCAGGTAGACCATCTCCTTTCGGGAATTGGCTTGAACCACCATGATGCCACAGTCGTCAGCCTGGACCACTATCTTCTCATTAACCTCCCCCCACACCACGGCCACATTAATGTCCATAGCGGCCAGCTGGGTTATTTCCTTTTGCACTTGTTCAGTTTGTTTCCGAAATCTTAGTAGTTCTTCGGGTGTGGAGAGACGGGGTGTGGCCAATGCAAATGGGTTTGTGGGACCGAAAGGGCAAATGAATAGGGCCACCCTGGCATCAGCTGGCACCTCAGTCTTTTGCCCACAGGGCTTCCCAGATATTGCTAACCCCGGGAGAATGCGAGAATCAGTCATTATTCCACCCTGCAGCGTGCACACGCCAATACGCTCAGGCTTGAAGCTGCCGTTTGGCTCCCTGTTAACCCAGCACACGTGAGCCACAAGCTTGGTTAAATACTCTGTGTCGGACAGCATGTGGGTGTTCATCACAGAATAGAGGGCCCAGGATGGGTCTTCCAAAGGCCCTAGAGAGCGGATGGCCAGGGAAGGTAGAGCGGTCAGGACTTCTGCTGTGGCCGTGGCAAAGGCCTCCCGGAGCTGGGTTCGAGCTAAGCCAGCACACAAAAGGTACTGGGCCTGCTCCAGCAAGGCTTCTGTCAGGAGAACTACAAAGGCTGTGCCATCCCCAGTGTTCTCTGCCTGTGTTTGGGCTACTTCTCGGACAAACTGGGCAGCTGGGTGCTCCAACTCCAGAGCCCTCAGGATGGCCGCTGCATGACCTGTACAAACTGTTTCTCCCTTAGCTGTCATCAGGAACTTCTGCCGGCCATAGGGGCCATAACAAGGCCGGATGATACTGGCTAGGGTCTGAGCTGCAGCTGTGGCCCTCAGTATGCATGATTCTTCCTCTCCCAGAGACTCCGTCTTTTTCTTCAGGTTTGGCGCCAGCCTCTTGGGCAGTTCTAGAGCTGAAGGGACTTTGCTTGGTTTGCCCTGGGATGGTGGAGAGACCGCCATGGGTTGGACTCTAGCCATTAGGGGCACTGTAGGGATGGCAGTAGGCACACTCTTGGCCTCTATCTAAGTCAAATGGAATCACCTGCTGCAGGCCGATGGGAACTGGAAGTAGACCTCCACTTTGTGTCCAAGGAGGGGGTGCAGAGAGATCAGCTCTAGCCCCGTCTCTACAGCTGAGTCTGAGCCAGGCAGGCTCTGGGACCTCTGACCCACATGGGCTAAACTGCACCTCTGATGAGGTCACAAAGTAGCAAAAGAAACCAGAGACAAAGAATGAAGTCACAGAGAGACAGTCAGCACGAGGAGGCCCTGACAGCAGGGAAGAAAGGCAAACCATCCAAATGCTTGTAGTGTTTGAATACCTAATGAAGCCTCATTGGCTGTCTTTGTGGTTTTGAGAGGGAACTGAACTACATAGCTGAAGTGATAATAAAACATGACACAGTTTATCCCGGTAACCCCAGCACTTGGAGGCTGAAGCAGGGCTGTCACAAACTCCATGCCAGCCTAATCTATAAAGTGAGAAGGTCTCAGAAAGCAAAAAGAATAAAAACAAAAGTCAACAACCAAAGAACCTAAACAAATACAAAGCCCACAGCCACATTCGAGTACCCAGAGTGCAGGGACAAGAGGACTGTCACAAATGTGAGGACAGCTTAGTAACCACAGAGGGAGGGTTAGGCCAGCCAAGACTACGCTGT